ATTAGTCACATTTAAATGCAGACTCAAAACTCATCTGTTTAGCTGTGCATTTACTGAATGAGCACTGTGCTACATCCGAACTGATTGCACTCTATTTTATGTAATAATTTTCTATTTTTAATTGTTTTAAATTCATTTTAAATAAATTTCTAAATAATTTTAAAAGTTTAAGTTCCCTGTTTTACCCTGTGCGTTGCCAACTGCTACAGCAATATATATATATATATATATATATATATATATATAGGTATTAATGAAATGCATTATTACCTTTCCCTTGGCATCATAGAGTCAATCAGTTGAAACTTTTGTTGAAAATGGAATAAAAGTTTACTAGACACAACCAACATAAAGACTACATGCAGTTTCAACTCAATTTTATCATATTGAATTTGATTTGTCATTGAATCATTTGTGATGCTTTGCTCTCTCTCTCTCTCTCTCTCTCTCTCTCTCCTGAAGGTGTATGTTGGAATACGGAAGGTTTTAAATACTTAGGGGTTTTTTTAGGAAATGAGATCACGGTAAAGAAAAACTGGGATGGAGTTGTTGAAAAACTTAACGGTCGTTTAGCTAAATGGAAGTGGTTGGCCCCAAATATGTCTTATAAGGGGCGTATTTTAATTATAAATAATTTAGTTGCTTCATCTCTCTGGCATAAATTAGCCTGTATTGATCCACCTCCAAAATTGTTAGCAGAAGTTCAAGCTTTACTAGTTGATTTTTTGAGGGGATAAATTACACTGGGTTACTCAAAGTATTCTGTATTTGTCTAAAGAAGAAGGTGGACAGGGATTAGTAATCCTAATGGACCTAATCTTATGAACACTGAGCAAGTTGCTTCTCATCTCTGAATTTTTTCGACCCATAAAGTTGGTCAATTACTGACAAAGTGGTGGTCTGCTCTATTAACTGAAGAGAGAAAATCATTAACAGATTTTTGTAAAGGAGTAAAGGCTCCTAATGTTGAAGATTCTTTTCCAGCTATATTTTTATTTCCCAAACTAGATGATTGTATGGGATGTTTTTTAAAAGTTGGCAAATCTTTGTTTTTGGATTTTTTTTTCAGTAACTGGGAAAATGTTGTACAAAGCTTGTGTTCTGGTTTTTAACCCTGTAAAGCCCACTGTTGACTGCCCAGCCAATGATGATGTGGACATCAAGCCCCAACCAAAAAAACACACCGTGCCCCGTGACAGGTTTCAGTGGAGGGGAACCACAACATCTGCACTGTCAAATGGTATGACAACAGAGCGGTCACACTTGTGTCATCCTTTGCTGGACCAGGACCTGTGCAGAAGATTCAGCGCTGGGACAAAGCCACCAAAACCATCATTGATGTTGAGAGGCCTTACATTGTTGGTACCTACAACAAACACATGGGAGGTTTGGATTTGTTGGACTCATTTGCTGCCAAGTACAAGTTCCCCATAAAATCCCGCCGCTGGTACATTTACATCTTCTGGCACACCATCATCCTTGCTGTGATTAACGCCTGGCTCCTCTACAAGCGGGACTGTAAAGCTCTGAAGATGACTAAGAAAGAGATACTGAACAGGAGACAGTTTCAGGCACAACTTGCAACCTCTCTCATCCTGGTGAACACACACAACACAACACCCAAGAGAGGGCGACCATCTTCAGGGAAGACGAACACATTCACACAGAAGGTGACATCAGGGAGCCCTTTGGATCCTCAGAAGAGACCATCCTCAACAGATGTGAGTCCCCCAGCCAAGAGGTCATCGGACCACCCCCCACTGGATGTACGCAAAGACACGATTGCACATTTCCCAGTAAAGACGAAGAGAGGACGCTACAAACACTGCAATAATGGATACACAAACATACTGTGTAGCAAGTGCAATGTTCGCCTGTGCTTCTCAGATGAAAAGAACTGTCTTAGGGACTATCACTGCAAGTAAACACAGACTTCATTCAAACCACATTGAAAGTGATAGAAGAAAAAGTTTTATAAATACAATTTTTTTTCAATATTTTTATTAATAAATGCTTATTCATAATAAAATATGATTGTTGTGTGATTATTACTCATGATATATACTGTTATGGGGCTAAGTAAGCAATCAACCATGCAAATGAATGCTTAAATGCTCTGTATATCTGTTCAGACAAAGTGAGTACAAATACAGAAATTCTGCTCCTAACTAGGGCCAACGTTGCAATATTACAACATTTCCCTAAAAACTTACTAAAATGTAAAAAAATTGAAAAATCTTTAATTTCTACATCAGAGGCCTCCTAAAACAATATCTGAGAGGTCAAATATGACAACAGAGCGGTCACACTTGTGTCATCCTTTGCTGGACCAGAACCTGTGCAGAAGATTCAGCGCTGGGACAAAGCCACCAAAACCATCATTGATGTTGAGAGGCCTTACATTGTTGGTACCTACAACAAACACATGGGAGGTGTGGATTTGTTGGACTCATTTGCTGCCAAGTACAAGTTCCCCATGAAATCCCACCGCTGGTACATTTACATCTTCTGGCACACCATCATCCTTGCTGTGATTAACGCCTGGCTCCTCTACAAGCGGGACTGTAAAGCTCTGAAGATGACTAAGAAAGAGATACTGAACAGGAGACAGTTTCAGGCACAACTTGCAACCTCTCTCATCCTGGTGAACACACACAACACAACACCCAAGAGAGGGCGACCATCTTCAGGGAAGACGAACACATTCACACAGAAGGTGACATCAGGGAGCCCTTTGGATCCTCAGAAGAGACCATCCTCAACAGATGTGAGTCCCCCAGCCAAGAGGTCATCGGACCACCCCCCACTGGATGTACGCAAAGACATGATTGCACATTTCCCAGTAAAGACGAAGAGAGGACGCTGCAGACACTGCAATAATGGATACACAAACACACTGTGTAGCAAGTGCAATGTTCGCCTGTGCTTCTCAGATGAAAAGAACTTAGGGACTTAGGGTCTTAAGTGTAGTCTTAGTCTTAGGGACTATCACTGCAAGTAAACACAGACTTCATTCAAACCACATTGAAAATGATAGAAGAAAAAGTTTTATAAATAAACATTTTTTCAATATTTTTAGTAATAAATGCTTATTCATAATAAAATATGATTGTTGTGTGATTATTACTCATGTTATATACTGTTATGGGGCTAAGTAAGCAATCAACCTTGCAAATGAATGCTTAGATCTCTGTATATCTGTTCAGACAAAGTGAGTACAAATACAGAAATGCTTCTCCTAACTAGGGCCAACGTTGCAATATTACAACATTTCCCTAAAAACTTACTAAAATGTAAAAAATTTTAAAAATCTTTCATTTCTACATCAGAGGCCTCCTAAAACAATATCTGAGAGGTCAAAAAAAATTTGCTCATTTTTTTCTATATTTGGGTATTACAGGGTTAATAAGACGTTTTTTAACAAAAAAAGTAGATACTCCATGGCATTCATTCCTCAGAATAGATGATGATGTTAAACCTGGATGGAGAGTCCTGTATAAGCCACCGTTACTAAAGAGAGTAGGAGATATGCAATGGAGAATTCTTCATGGCGCAATTGCTGTTAATGCTTTTGTTTCTGTTTTAAACTCTGAAGTGAGTTCTGAATGTCCTTTTTGTTTTAAAAGAGAAACAGTTTTTCATGCTTTTATGGAGTGTTCCAGGTTAAATCCTTTATTTGTTGTATTAAGGAGTCTTTTTGGTTGTTTTAATTAAACATTTTCAGAGGAAATTTTTGTATTGGGTGCTAAATACGTGAAGAAAAAACATTATGATTGTTAATTACTGAATTTTATCTTGGGTCAAGCTAAATTGGCTGTTTATACAAGTAGAAAGAACAAGATTAAGCAGAAGTCTGGGCAAAATGTGGTTGTTTTGTTCTCAACCCTTGTATTGAATTTTTACAAGTCAGTGGGTGATCTTTCTTTTGAACTGAAATGGTGTAGCAAAGGAGCATTGTACTCTGTTTTTGAAGGTGAATTGTTTTTTACACATTTCCTGTGATTATGTATTATTTTTGTACAATGTGATCTATATTTTGTGAACTTGTTTATTGTCCATTTGTAATAAAAAGCTATTCAAATTCTCTCTCTCTCTCTCTCTCTCTCTCTCTCTCTTCTGGAGGTATGGATGGATGCTGGGACTCAGATCTTTTTCTCATATGGCATTTGTCTGGGAAGTCTTACGGCTCTCGGCAGCTACAACAAATTCAACAACGACTGTTACAAGTGTGTCCTTCCTCTCACAAAGTCTCTTACACATGTCAACATGAAAACAATGATGACTCTATTCACTTTCCTAATTCATGTCTTTTTTGGAATGATTAATTTACATTTATGCATTTGGCAAATGCTTTTACCCAAAGCGATGAATGTTGCATTAAAAGAACACATATTATCAGTTCATGTATTCACTGGGAATCAAACCCATGATGCTGATGTTACTAGTGCAGTTTTATAGTGCTTGTGTATCTAGTGTAGATTTATGTACTACTATAGTTTTTTTATTAAGGTTTTGAATTAGCTTTTTTTATATTTTTAATTTAAATTTTCAGTAATTTTGTTATGTTTTTGTCATTATTATTAGTTTTTCTTTTAAAAATATTTCTAAATAGTTTTAATCTATTTTCATATTACTTTTAGTTTGTTTCATTTTAGTACATCAACTTAAACTTGTCAACTGCATGTAATCAGTAACCACCGAAACAACACCGTCACAAATGTGCATTGGTTTGTGTTTCAGGGACTGTTTCAGACTGTGTCTCCTCAACAGCAGCACCAGTGTCATTGCAGGATTTGCCATTTTCTCCGTGCTTGGCTTCATGGCACAGGAGAAGGGTGTGGATATCGCAGATGTGGTGCAGTCAGGTAAGAATTGTGATTGTGTAAGTTCTGATGGAAATGATAAATGCCTGTTCACAATGAGAGCAGATTTTTGCTCTGAAGTAGACACCTGAAATATTTGGTATGTTTTCAACTGTATGCATACATGCTACATCATCTACATCCTAGCTAATAAAAATATGCTCTAAGAACATTTTGCTAATGCTCCCATTAAGTTATGAAAACGTTGTTTCTGAATGCTTAAAATGTCCAGTTGTTTAGCCCTTATAAATGCCTTCAAGTCCGTTTTGACCTGGAAGAGATGCATAAAAACTTCTAACATGTTTTTACTAGGGGATGAAACTTTAAAAAAAATGCTTTGAAAAGACCCTCAAAATACACATCTATATATATGTATATATATATATATATATATATATATATACATACATACCTATTGACAAACCATTGCAGCATGAAAAAATGTATCACTTTTTTCATCTGAAAGAGTATGCAAATAAAATGAATTTATTTTGTTTGAAAACTGTTTAGGGTATCATGTATCCTGTTTTGATGTTGTTAGAAATAAATATGTAGGATTCATAAATTTGGGCAGTTTTTGAGCAATCATGCAATACTAGTAATTCTCAGATTACTGTATATGCGCATTCCATTTGATCATTTTGCAAACATTATGGGAACGTTACTTTTGAATGTGCTCTGAACGTTCTGGAACAAGTAGTAACAAAATATATATATAATGTTCCATGAACAATGTATAAATAATGTTTTTTGAGCTAACGTTTTAAGAATATTATTAAAGACCAGATAACTTGAATGAATGCTCTTGAATTAATGTTAATGGAAGAATGTTTGTTCATAACTTTGAGAGAACCTTGTCAGAACGTTCTGAGAACTGGACCTGTTATCTGTAATTCCACACTTCTACATAACAGTCATCTTGTGAATATATTTTTATATACGTATACATCAATATCATGCTGTGTGTCTCATTCAGGTCCTGGTCTAGCGTTCATAGCGTATCCACGGGCCGTGTCCATGATGCCTCTGCCGCAGCTGTGGGCCGTGTGTATTTTCCTCATGATACTCATGTTGGGTTTGGACACTCAGGTGTGCTGTGACTCTCAGGTGTGTGCGCTGTATGTTTAGCAGTGCTGATCGCTGTATTTGTGTGTTTAGTTCGTCAGTCTGGAGGCATTGATAATGTCCGTGTCAGATCTGTATCCCACGCTCATCCGCAGATGTCACGGGCGTGAGATTCTGCTCCTGCTCGTGTGTTTGGTCTGTTTCCTGATCGGACTACTGATGGTGACACCGGTAAGACATTTCATTCAAATCCCCTTCTTCGTTCAAAGTCAGAGTTGAAAATGAACATTCACCAAGCGCCAAATGCAAGTGAATGGTTGGTTTGTTAAATAAAATGTTACTGGACAATTAAAATGTGGTATAAGAGTCAAATTATATATATATATATATATATATATATATTAGTCACGGTTATGCTGCTGTGTAGGAGGAGCGTGGAGACGACGGAGAATTTACGAGGAACAGTCTTTATTTATTCCAACAAAAACTCACAGACAGGAACACACATGCAGCACGGGGAAATGACGATAGGCGTGACATTACCTCCCCCTCCCGGAAGGCGCGTCCACGCGCCTCATAACATCCAATGGGGAAAGGGGGGGTGGGTGCTCTGGAGGCCTCTACGGACAGGCTTACACATGACAGAAGGCCTCCAGGGCGGTACCCGTTCCGGGACCCATGGCGGATCAGGCAGTTCGAAGGGCCATGGCGGAGCGGGCAGCTCAGCCGGTGGGCTTGAGAGTGCTCTTACTGGCGAGCCCGCAGAATTCCCAGGCGAACTCCACCAACGGGAGATCCTTGCAGGCTAGGGTGGCGAATCGCGCTGCGATCTCCATTATCGCGCGGGGGGGGAACAGAAAACAAAACACTTTCAAAAAGGAAACAAAAACGAGGAGAAGGGGCACTGCTTACTGTTCGGTTCGGTGTTCTGTCATGGTTATGCTGCTGTGTAGGAACGAGGAGCGTGGAGACGACAGTCTTTATTTATTCCAACAAAGACTCACAGACAGGAACATACATGCAGCATGGGGAAATGACGATAGGTCTGATAGTCGAATCATATATTTTGGGGGCGGGGCAAAATACATTACCAAGAGTCACGTCAGACATTCGACAGCCATAATTATGTTAACACACAGGGAAAATGTGTAATGGACACCTCGCAGATACAAACGGGGCAAATAATGTTTTATGTTTTGATTAAAACATAGTTAACATTAAACGTCAGCGAAACCCTAAGAATTCACAACATTTTTTACAATAGTGCTGTCATTATAACGTTATGTATATGAAAGTAGTTATTAATGTTCTGCATTTCAGTTTTGAGCTGCGCGCTCTGAAGATGACCAGTAGAATGAAGCAGCAGGTTTTCAATCAATGGGAATTTTACTCATCATTTATCTCATATAGAATATGTTTCGTTATTTATACAACATAACGTTAATATTACGACTTATTGGCGTTATCTGCACAAAATGCCCCGAATGCATGAACGTGTCTGTGCGGATCTGAATGAACTCCTTTTGTGGATGCGTTCTTCACACAACAACGTGTAGAAACACGGCAATTAAACTCTAAAAATTCACAGCATTTTATTATAATAGTGTTCTCATTATAATGCTATGTATATGACAGTCCCAGTCATAGTTATTAATATTCTGCATTGTTGTTTGTCCTGCTCGCACTGCGCGCTGAAGAGAAAATCACCACAGTACTACAATGAAGCGCTTTACTGCAGCACAACTCAACCAAATGCATCATATACGAGATAAATAATATATACACGATATATATAAACTGGCTGAAATGTTTTGAAATCACTTGTATCCTACCTGATCGAAAAAATCCAGTCTTTCACTCTGCCTGTGTCAAATTGAGTCTTGTTAAAGTTTTAAATCCCTGCCGCCAAGATGCTCCTCTGTTGGTCACGGGTTATGGAAAGTGAAACTTAAATCTGTAGGGGTGGTTGGATTTATTCACGCACGTTAAAGTATTTATTTGAAGCTTCTTTCTTTTCAGATTCTTATTTACAGCATTATTTTAATAGGCTGTATATTAACTTATTGGGAGAAAACCAGTAGTTCTATGTGAAATCAGACATTTGAGCACCCCCATATAGCCAAAATGGCATGATCATAAAACCCGCGAATATTCGACTGTCCCTGCGTTCCTTTCGGAAGGGCTCATCTCTATGCCCTAATCCCTTCAAAGGGTTTACCCTGCGGAGTGAGAGCTTTGAATGTTTGAAGGGTGTAGGGGACCAAACAACGGTTTCTTGAAGTGCCCTTCTGCGTCATCATCCCGTGCCCACATGGAGGCGCCGTCATCATGGAAAGAATCAGCACAAAGGATCATGGGGGACCAAAGTGTCCATCAGTTGTACCCTTCGAAATCCTTCATTCGGAAGGGCCCTTTGAAGTGGCCAGTTTTGAGCACTTCGGTTTGGAACAACGCTTCAATATGGCGGCCATGATTGTTTTCACTCCGAAGTGCCCTTCGGAGGGTGATATATCCTGTTTGGAACGCACTGTGTGAGATTGGTAGTCGAATCAGGCTCCTCTTATCGAAGCATCGAATCTTCGACTATTCGGGGTCACCCCTAATTCAGTGACAGTAAAGACATTTATAATATTACAACAGATTTCTGTTTCGAATAAATGCTGTTCTTTTGAACTTTCTATTTATAAAAGAAACCTGAAAATCACAATATCATGGCTTCCACAAATATATGAAGCAGCACAAGTGTTTTCAACATTGATAATATTTAGAAATGTTTCTTGAGGAGCAAATCAGCATATTAGAATGATTTCTTAAGGATCATGTGACACTGAAGGCTGGAGTAATGATGCTGAAAATTCAGCTTTGATCACAGGAATAAATTAAATTTTACAGTATATTCACATGGAAAACAGTTATTTTAAAATGTAATAATATTTTAAATTAGTTTACTGTATTTTTTATCAAATAAATGCAGCCCTGGTGAGCAGAAGAGACTTAATTCAGAAATATTAAACATCTGTCTGACCTTTCAGCAAGTTTTTATTCCTGCTCATTCAGATCTGTATCATCTGATAATGAAGATGTACATATTGCTGTCTTCCTCTCCTCTCTGTGCCTGTGTTCAGGGAGGCCTGTATGTGTTTCAGATCTATGATAATTTCTCCTGCAGTGGAGCCAGTCTGCTGCTGCTGTCGGTCTGCCAGTCTGTGGCCATCGGATGGATCTACAGTATACACACATACTCTCATACACACATACACTCATAAACACACACACATACACATTAAATACTCAGACAAACTCACGCACACACATTAATATATCAGTATCAATCGCTGCTTTAAATAGTTCACTGATAATCTGATACAATATAAGAGACCTTAAGGGACAGCATGTATTCATATGATACAATAACTGTCGAGATCACATTTACAGTAATGACGATAAAAGTTTTTGCATTGCAGTAATGATATTTTGCAGGAAAAATGTGCTTAATAATGTCACAATGCTCTTAATATAATGTCTTATTTTCTACATATATTATATACGTATATACATTAATATTTTCATATAGTGGTTATATATAATATATAATTATATATTAATTAAATATGAGAGTGTATGTGTGTAAACTTGTATTTATATTTACAGTGGTGTGAAAAAGTGTTGGCCCCCTTCAAAATATGATGTCTTTTTTGGTAACACTTTATTTTAATGTGTCCTTGTTACAGTGTGATTATGCATTTAAGTACTGAGTAATATTAATTAACTACATGAACTTACTATAAAGTTAGGGTTAGGATTAGGGTTTGGCTTAGGGTTACTTGCAGTGGCGTAGCATCTGGGTATGCAGGGTATGCAGGTGCATATGGGCCCGGGCAGT